AAAACTTTAAATTGAAATAAAAACAAAATAAACCGAAATATTATTATTTGAAAAAGAATACAAATGATGAAAGCACATAACAAAATGACAATAAAATATACAATTAAAAGCTAATTTAAAAATATGAATAAAAACTGTAATGGTGTGTCAGTAATACTAAAATAAAACTGGCAGATATAAGACAGCCCCTGGGTATTTTGAGCTGAAACTTTACAGACACATTCTGGGGACACCTGAGACTTATATTACATATTGTACAGTAGAAAGAGGCATAATAGGTCACCTTTAAGACACACATGAAAATGTCATTGCATTACATGAAATGTCAAACCAAGTGGCATCTGCATAATTATAACCACAAATAGTACATTTTAAAGTGTGACTTAAGTGACTTAAATACATTTTGGGGCCACATACAGTACATTGTTTCCATACAGGCCAATAGTGCATATGCAAAACAAATGTACTCTTAAGAAGTTTACAAATGTCCCACCCTAGGAAAACAAACCAAACTCACTGAAGTAAACCACTACCAGAGGACACGGAATGAAAACGATTACACGTCTACCTTGTTCAACATTTCTGCTGACCTTTGAAACTTTTAATGCGCTGATATCTTAAGAACTTACATAAAGTTGTAATCTACACGGCTGGGGAATGAAAAAGCAGTGTGTTATCTCAGCATATTCAGATTAATGAAGCTGCTCGCTGGTCATGGGTGAACGCATGTGACCATACAAGTCTGTGTTATGGAGATACGCTTTAAACCTTTCTCAGTTTAGAGTTAGAGTAAGCAGATTAAACACTTTCAGTCTATGTGGTAAAAGAGCTCTATACAGATGCAGAACAGGTTTCAATCGCTAAGTTCTGTTAGGGCGTAACAGTTGTGTTGCCAATCTAAATGCTACAGTGTGTTTGGCAAGGAGGGTTGTGACAGTAATGTGCAACGTCTGGGATCTTATTGAAGCCACCCACCAAAATGTAATCAAATAAGGATTCGTAAAGAAACCCAACAAGCACAACAGTAAGTCCAGCACTGGCTACAGACCTGCATTTAACAGTCAGACTCAGACATAATCAACCAGGTCAACCACATTTGAATGTTAAATTAACCAGACAAAAATTCCAGGGTAATACCATAACATCATATTTATACTTTATTTATTACAGCATTGTACACTCTCAGAAAAAAAAAGTACAAAAGCAATCACTGAGCCATTACCTTTTCAAAAATACATCTTTGTACATTATTTCCCCCTAAAAAGTGAATATTAGTACCTAAATGTAGTGGTCGACCGATATTGTTTTTTTGACAGCCGATGCCGATATCTTGGAAAGCAGGGTGGCCGATATAAAGACGATATAATTTTATTTATTTTATTTAATATTTAAGAAATTTGTAAATGTGTAAAATAAACATGCTTATACTTTAAATGACAAAGTACTTTTCACAAATAAACAAATATTTAATAAAAATATAATTAAAAAGGAAGTAAACA